TGACAAGTAGTTCTTTGTAGCAGCTGGCTTCGCATGTGCCCAGCTCAGATTTACGGCTCTGTTAGAGTAGTGTCTAGGGTAGTATGAGCCCAGTTGCAGCTGGTTAAAGATATTTGCACATACAGAATAAATTCAGGAGTTGCTCCAGAGGTTATGCTCCACTGTGCTCAGAAGTTATTTTACATCAGGGTGACTTAAGTCATGAGGAACATCTGTGTGAGCAGGACTTGGCTCAGAGATGCCTTGGGGATATTCTGGACATCTCTCTGTACTGCTGTGTGCCCTGCCATGTCCACCAATCCTGTTTGTGGGTCCCACACACCAGATGTCACCATTCAAGCACTGGAGAGCTGCTGAGTTCTGCCTTTTGTGTCTGCAAACACTCACAGTTAATAAGCCTGGCAAGTGTGTGGGGAATCATTTTCTGGCAAGCCCTGTATTATATCCAGCCATTTTACTTGCATATGACTCCACACTAGGCTCTTAAATTTTCTTGTCCTCTGGACAGAGGCAAAGATGAATTCCTGGTACATAGAAAACACATATCCCACGTCATCCTGTTCACGTAACAACAAGCTGGATGGCATGAGCCAGCTTTCTCTTGGGGCTCATCCACAGCAAAACTAGAGATCAAGGAGAGAAAACCCATGACTCCTCGTAGGGGACAGCTTAGGCAGCCAGGAGCATCTTGCTTCAGAGGTGCTGCCAGACAAAAGGGCTGCAAAAATCTGAGCCGAGGCCCCACAGCGGGTTGGCTGCTGTCCTGAGAGCCCTCGGGGAGTGGCCACACTGCAGAGCAGGGTAAGCATCACCGTGTACTTCATTTAAGTGTTTTGTCGTGCCCAAGGAGATGTTTTTCCTTTTATTGCTCCTTCAGAACACTGACACATAGAGCAGAAACTTTTCATTCTGAGTTCTCAGTTTGCTGGGGAGGCTCTAAACAGTAGCATCCATCAGTGGAAATGCTGCCTTTCTTTCCTGTTGCTCCCTGAGGAGATACACCAGCACCAGCCAATATTTTAGATCTACAGCAATTGATTTTGCATGATTGTCGCTTCTGGCCTCAAACTCCTACTTATCCGCCATAATGTGACCAGCCCAGCCCAGCAAATTCAAAAGAACAAGGAAACAAACAAAAAATAAAAACACCCCACAAAAAAAGCCTCAATATGCACTGAGGAACTCCTCGGCTCTTACTGTCTAGCACAAGGAGTATGATGCATTTGATCATGCAGAAAATTAATTTAGAAAATTAGTTTGCTGTCAAGTTTGTCTTTGTGAAAGTGAGAAAAGTTTTTATTTTTTTACTGACAATCTCATTTGGATATCATTTTTTCAGTGAAATCCTAGCAATGATTTCCTTTTGTCACCATAAATCTTAGGTAGGTTTCCTTTGTAGTAAAACCTTTGTCACAATGTATTTGCAAAACTGTTGTAATCAATATTGCAAAAATGGATGAAGTGTAAACCAAGCACTACATCGTAAAGCACAAATTATAAAAAACTTTCCTTTCCTTTTGAGTGCCTGAAGCATATTGCAAAACTGTATGGATGGCACAGTGAAGGTCAGGCATGTTCACACATGAGTATTTTAAATACAGAAAGTGCAGTTAGAGGTGGTTACTTGTTAAGGTCTGTCTTCCCTGTTCCTTGGTTAGACACCTGCACTCACTCAGTTTGATGAAACGGCCGTAATTACCTTTCTGATCAACAGCAGCACCACACACCTCACTCCATCCTTACACTTTGCACAAGCAGATCCATTCTTTGCTGTGACACCAGGTTCCTTCCTCACCTCCATTTTCTCCCATTTATTCTGATTGTGCTGCTAATGAGACACCTTTTTCTTGACCTGTGGCCTCCTGACTGCCTCATGCAGCCCCTGTGATGTTAAATGAAATAAGGCACAGCAGCAAGCCAGCAATCAAACTACTGAAATCAACCTCTGCAAGCTAGGTGGGCTTCATTAACAGCTTTTTATTCTGGGCAGGACAGGAAGGAGGGAAGAAGAGGGGAGCTATCACCACTGATGTTTGCCAAGGTCAGAACTCTGTGCTGGTGATGGTGTACTGAAATTAAGTGTGAAAGAAAAAACTGTCTTTGCAGCCATAGTAATAAAGCAAGAGCTGCTTGCGTTTCTTGATTTACATTATCTGTAACTAGTATAAAGGTTTTCAAAGATTAACAGATGCTAACAGCTGCTCAACATCTGGCAAGCCTAGAAATTAGGTAGCAAGAAACAAGAGCTAAATGGTGCTGTTCTGAGGAGCTGGTGGAGGAGTTTGTAAAGCCCCAATAGTTTGGGGCCAGAAGTCACTGTAACAGCATGAGACAGAATTAAATTAAATGAGCAAGAGACCATGAAAAGAGAAATTGGAAGAGCTTGAAAGGGAAGGACTGTGGATGGGGCTGGGTTTATTTGAGGAGCTCATCAAGGAGGGACTTACAATGAAGGAGCAGGAGTAGGTTCAGTCAGTCCTGAAGGATGATGGAAATGAGAATGTAACAGCAGTTCATGAAGATGAAAGCAGACACAGGTACTGGAGGCCAAGAACCTCCATGGCTTCTATTCATGACTTTTTTCATCCTCCAGTGCTGCTTTACTACTTGCACTGTAAGGACTAATTAAGATTTTGTTCCACTACAAGAATACCTTAGCTTTTCCTACTGCCTAAATCACAGTATTAAAAATTCTTGGGATTATAAAACTCCAGAAGTGATTGATAATCCATGAATGAATCTATTCAAAGTGGCACAGCTTTTTCTACTGTGCATCCCTTAAAAGTGGCAGTCACCATTTAGGCAGTGGCACTCTGCAGACTGAAAAGGGTGGATAATGGGATCTACAAAGTAATTTGACTTTTGATGGGGAACCTGGGTATCCTTGGCTGGCTTTCACTAGGGGCCCTTCCAGACAGTATGGGGAAGAATCACATGGTCTGTAGGTCCTGAGCAGCACAGGAGTAGAGGGTGTATATATTACCAAGGGCATACTTGGAGGAAATCTCTGTCCTCTTGTGTGGAAGCAATGACACCATAACATTCAGTGAAAGCTTAGTTGAAGTGCATCTACTTCATGGCAGGTACCTCACTAAACACATGGAAGATGTTGCAAATAACTTCTGTAGGTAGATAAAACTTCTGCCTTCTGTTAGAAATGTCCTAGGGTAAACTGTTTGTGACAGAGCAGTTCTCTGAGTCCTTCAATCCCTGTTTTCTTGGAAACAGGAGGACTTTTGGGGAGGGTTTTTTTCTTTCTCCTTTTATTATGATGCTTGTTTCTGTAGAAGCCATCCACATGCTGGATGGCTGGAGTTGATCCTGAACATCCCTCTGATGTATCTTCTTGAAAAGCATCATGGCATGGGGGATTAAAAACATTTACAATACAGTTCCTGCAGACATATGTGGTGGGGCTAAAAGTGGCAACCTTTTTTTTGCTTCTCATATGATGCTAGAAATGAAGTAGTTTTAATTGCTTCAGTCCTAAGGTGAAGTGTCCCATTAGCAACAGCTACTGTATCTTAAAGATGGTAAAAGCAAGCACTTGAATAGCACTTTCTGTCTTCAAAGTACTTTGCAGACATTCTTTACTTCTGAATTAAGGATCAATTTCTGTCTCTTGTAACACTTTTCTAATGAGAAAAATATTCAATCTGCCATGAGAAAGGGACGAAGCTCTTGACTCCAAATTCTGCACTGAAATAGGGTTATGTTCTGCTGGTTTGTTTTCATGGTGCAAAGTGCCCCCAAAGGACATATGGCTAGTATCACCTCTGCTGATGGAAATCTTCAGACTGTAAAATCAGATGCCTGTAAAGCTTCTGCCTTCAAACAGCTGTGTAGGAGGTGTGCTCCTGCCCAATGCTTGTGCTTCATTCAGTCCTGTGCTCTGCACACAATGTGAGGGGCAGGGGTCTTGAACTGGCACCCACATGAGCTCCTGGCTTTGGAGAATGCTGGGGATGCATGTGCACCAGCAGCTTAGCCCTGTCAGACATCTCTCGTCCAGCCTTGCAGAGCCAGCTCCATTTCAGGGAGCTGCTGTGCCCAGGGTCGGGGGAACATTCATTATAGAAAAGGAAGCCATGCAGCATTCTTATCATTTCCTACCAGTGCCCAGTAACTCGCAGGGAAACTGGTCCAGTTGACAGAGACTGGAGCCCTCAAGTTGGAAATGTCTCTGAATGACCAAGTCTGAAGGAAGAGAAAGCTCTCATGTCATTGGTATCCTTGACAAAACTCCCATTGACTTGGATAAGAGTATGAGGATGCCCAACAGTGCTGACTTCTGATGTCATCTCTCTGGTTTACTTTGCTTTGCAAAGACCCTTTTGTGCTTGCTCTGTATTCTGAATATTCAGGTCATTCCTATGTACAGAGCCCCCATTTGTAATGAGATTGTGGGGTTTGTTGACCCTATTATGTACCGGTTGACTAGCAAGTCACACTGATCCTTCAATATAGGATTTAATAAAAGCCACAAGAGGAGGAGAAGGGAAGTGAGTGTGATGAGGAGGAGGGCTGCTATTGTTCTGCCCTTAGTGCTGCCAAACAGTGCCTTGTTTTGTCTGTGTCTGTGTGTTCAAACGCTCTGTGAACAAACGGGGCGCAGTCAGGAGGCTAGCGAGAGGGCAGCGAGAGGGTTAGCTGGATCTCAGCTAGAAATACTTGTGCAAGTCAGGAAGCAGGCATGGAGGGAAGGAAATTAAGTGGAGACATCTGTGTGGCTTAGCTTTCAGCAGCTCTGCCTGGGGTAGGGGTGGGAGAGTCATGCCTGAGATGACATAACATATTTCGTCTTTCGTGGGATTGAAAGAGAGGAAACTGCGAAAGCGAAGCATGGTGTGTGTCACGCGTGGTCCAGGCATACCAAGTACATAATGGAGCAGTGTCAGTGTTTTGTGTTCTGCCTTTCACACCCGAAAGTAACTCTTCAAGGCAGAGAACTGAGGAGAATATGATATGGTCCAAAAACTGATCTTGGACTTCTTTCGCAGACGACTGAGCCAGAGGCCGACTGCTGAAGAATTGGAGCAGAGGAACATACTGAAACGTAAGTCCTGATTCTGCTGACATTTAACCTGAAGCCAGATAATTTGGGTTAGATTTCGTGTACATTTGGTATTTTTTATAAACATCAACTATTCTCTGTAAGCACCACTGATAATTATTAAAAATAATAAAGGGCATCATAAGTGCAAATAAGCGTGGAAGTCTGTAACAACATCTAGTTCTGCAGAAACAGTTCTTTAAAATCAGAGTCAGTAAATTTACAAGAATAAACAACCTATGGAGAAAAAACCCCAGATGTTGAATGACATTCCAAACAGGGGGTCAGTCATCCTGAAAAACCTCCTTTATACAGCATTTATATAGATAAACATCCCATTGTAAGTTAGTAAAGACATTAGGGGATAGCTTGATTAGCTTTCCTATAAATCTTCACAGCAATCTATGCTAGCTGGAGCCTTTATTCAATTTTTTAAAGAATCCAACGTGACTCAGGGTTATTTCCCTGAAATGTTCCCCTGAAATTCTCCCTTTAAATCAGCCAAAAATTTTTGGTAGATCCTCAGCATGTGATATTTTAAAGGGATAAAATACCATTCAGAAATCCTGAACCAAGTCAGTAGATACATTGCCACTGACTTCAAGGGAAGCTGAACTGGATCCAACTTTCATAACCTCGTGAATGAACAGGAAGAAAATGACAGTTTCTTCACTTGCATGGAAATGTTTTGAATATTGAAAACAAAAAAGCTGTTCATCTAATTGTTTTGTTACTTTGGAAGCAGGAAAAAAAATTCTTCCCCTTTTAAGTTAGTAAATGCATATTTCCAGGAAAATTTTCAAATATTACTACAGAAAAAAGTATTCTGACATGGTATCTTATACATAATGTCTCCTTAGTTGGTCCATAATTCACCTTATCTTGTTCAAATAACTGCATTGTGTGGAATCATAAAAACGTGGTAGCAGAAGATTAATTCTCTGAAAATCAGCAGAACTCATTTTTCAAATACTTCAAAACCAAATTCTTAGCAGATTAATGATAATGTTAATGCCTAGCAGGGTCTTTTCATCTGTTGGTGTTATTACACGTGGCAGACAGAGAGGGAGAGACACCACTGTCAATGGTGTCTCAAGAGGAGAAAAGACCGGGCAGCAGAGTGGTGTGGGCATGCCTGAGGCTGCTGGAAAAGCCATTTGTTTGGGACCGGCCCTCTCTTAATAACTGTGCTCCTACTGTCTACTCCTAACTCCAGTGACTGGCTGCTGGAGGAAGTCAGGGGCAGAACCTGGGGAAATATTTGGCACATCCAGCTGTGATTGTCTCACAGGGGCGTAGCAGAACATCTGGAGAAGGGGAGACCTGCGACGTGACTGATGCCAGGCTCAGGCACAGAGGGACAGAGGCCAATTCTCTGCAGCTCATGTTGTCATCCTGGGACCTATGAACAAACACATGTCAGGCACCACCTGGCACTGGTGCATGACCAGTAAACACTGCCCTGGCACTGGGGGAGGTGGGGTCTTGGGCACCTGCTTTGAACCAGCATCAGCAGAGAGCAGCATCTCCAATGCTGGGTGCCTTGAAAACATTCCTAAAGATCACAGAGTGCCCTAAAGATGTCTTACATTTCAGAGGAATTACCCCTTGAGTAACATCAGTTTCTTTTTTAGTTGAATAAACGCTCTTAAATGACATGGATGTTTGAAAATATTATGCTGAATCCAGAACCATATTGTATTTCCTAAACGGAATTTTTGTAGCTTGCTTTAGCACAAATCTGCCCCAAAACATGTGTGTCTTGGTAAACAAACAGCTTCCTAATTACAGGAAAGAGTAATGTAGTATTTCCAAGGCATTCCAACTTTTGGTGAACCACAGCAGGGAAAAAAAAATTAAATAATTACATAATTTTAAAAAGAAAGCATAAATATTCTCTACCCTTAAACAAGGAAATACAAATATTTCTGATTTGTACATCATTTTTTGTCGTTCCTCTAGACTTCTGAGACGAGCATTATAATAAATATAATGGAATGTAGGGAAAGAGGGACATAGGAAGTGCTAATAAAAAGAGTGTGAATTCTCTGCATAAGCAGGTCAAGCAATTTGCAAAAGCCCAGCTTAGAGCACGCACAAACACAAAAGAAAACCTACCAAGCTCTCGAGCAGACTAAACAGGATTTTCCCTGCAGTTAAAGCTGAAATCTCTCTGATGAAAATGTCGGGTCTGGTACCATGATGTTCCTATTACACATGTAACTGCATTACTGCCCATGCTGATGGGAAAAAATGAGGCAAAATGTGGTTGGACAGCCAGTCTTTATGCATGAATTGAATGCTTCCTAGGTCTGTGCTACTGCAATAATTATGAGTTATCTTTACAAGGGCAAAGCATCCATTGCCAAATTCTGCTACTTGCTGATAGCAGCAGTGAAATAACAGCAGCCACAGCAAGGAAACAGAGCAGAGACAACTGGTTCTTGTAGGGTCCTTCACTGAAGTATACCCCATTCACTGACTCATGTTTAGGTCAAAGGCATATATTAGGAGGAGTCCAAGCCTGCAGGGTTAGTTTGAAGACTAAAGAACACTTTGCAGCTATACTTGCTGTCCAGTTGTATAAGGAAAGATGCCTCAATCCCATCATGCACCACCCCTGTGCCACTTCACAGATGGATAAAAGTAATCCAGTTGTCAGCCTGGCACATTCAGGGTTGCATAAATTCCTCACAAAAATGATGGTTAGGTGGGTTCTGAATGCCTCAAACTGTATTGGGGGACATTGCACACAGGCACAGAAATCAGGTGTGAAAATTGCACCTACATCCAACCGCTCACCCTGACACACAGGTTTAGAGAAACAGAGAATATCCTGAACACATAAGATAAAAAAATAAAGCATCAGTTCTGTAGCTTCACGAGATTGGCATGACTTAACTTCAAAGAAATAGCTAAAACAAAGTCACTTTCTAGTTTTGAAAGAGAATGTATTCTATTTTCCAACTTTTGCCTGCCTGAAGTCTTAAGCCTGCCTGGCTGTCTCTGAAAGTGGGTGGCTGGCCTGAGAGTGAGGAGAAGAGAAAAACATCAGATGCCAAGGACAAAAATTAATAGCCATTACTAAATTTTCTGCATAACTCCTTGGCTGCTTGCAGTTCTACCTCGACTCTGTGTGGGTTCTCTTTAGTGCTGTGTCTGAAGGCAGGCATTTGCAGGACCAACTCCTCCAAATTTGAGACACAAAGGGAAGGAAAAAATTACTGGAGGGTCAATTGCTAGAAGAGTATCCAGCCCAGTAGGGACAGAAACCGTTGAAAGAGGAAAATTACATTTATCAGTGTAGGTACTCCAGTGATTGCTTAAAAAGACAGTTGTGACTCCCTGCTGTCATGTTCATTTTAGTCCCCTACTGATTTCCTTCCTTCTGAATATATAAGCAGCATTTTTGGTAAAATGGCACTTAAAGATCAGAAGTGTGGTGTGAAACATCGTAAGATCAACAGGTCCTTTGTCCACTTCAGTGGAGATTTCCCAGTCCTACTGAAGACAGTGAGCAGTTGTGATAGCACTGTCAGCTCTACTGTTCTGAGCAGTGAGAAACCTGGTTTCCAGCTTAGCCCTCCTCACCTGCTCAGAGGCTTCTGTGGTCTCTAAACCTTAGGTCTCATTTCTGTGTGGGGAAAGCCCCAGTTTTCTAGTGAGGGTGTTGGCTTGTGCTCTTCACAGCTGAAGAAGCCATGGCTGGTGGATTGTTACTGCAGCTCTGCAGCAGCTCCATCTGCAGGATCAGCAGAGAGGAATGTGGGATTCCCCCTTGAGTTTAGTGCAGTCAAAAGTTTAATGATTTAAATCAAGGCACCTATCCTCAGCTGCTCTTTGAAGTCCATAATGTCCCCTGCAGAGAGTTATTCCTGCCTGAGCTAGTCCTCGCTGAGCAAAAACTGGATCCCAGCAGGGGCACAGAGTACTTACTGGAAAAGTTGATGAGTTGTGTTTGCTCTCACCTGTTATGTGCCAGCATGATTGGAGGAGTAAAGAGCATTTCAGCCGCCAGTAAAGCAGTGAAGGCAGATCCTAACTGATCGAGAAGCTGAGTACCTGGAAACCTGAGATATTAGTGACTTTTGGTAAAAGTCAATGCAAGGACAGTGCATGACAGCCTGCTCCTAAGTTGAAGAAGAGTTAGTGTACTCAAATGTTACTGACCTCTTGAGGGAGAAGAGTTGAGGCATGCCTTGGTACGAGCTTGTAACACGTGATCTTTTGGCTAAATGTTAAAAGTTAATTGACCTAGGATGAGCTTTTATGCTCCAGTGTGATACTTCGAAGGCTCACAATGGAAGGACACACTCTCCTTAACTCTGCTCATGCCATGAGAAGTTGCACAATTTGCCTGGCACTTCTGTTCCAAAGGGTTTTTTCTATTATCTCCAAAAGTAAACTACGATAAGTTATTCTGCAGATGGAAAAAAAAAATGCACGTTTCTTTCAACTGTTGACCTTGCAGAATCCAGCCCTATCGTAGCTGAGCCCCCTGAGGCCACCAGGCCTGTGGGCAGGGAGATAACATTTTTTGAAGAGCTGGCTTGCTGCCCAGCACTTCTAGAAAGTGACACACCTGAAGAGGTGCCAACACAGGGAAAGGAAGGAAGCTGTAGGTGTTTTATGAAGCGTGTGAAGAAGCACAGTAGCTACAGATCGAGGACATTCACCAGCCCCAGGGGGACATACTGTGCATCAGAGAGGTCCTGAAACATTAATATACTGATGGAAAGGCTTATTTTGTTGCAAACTGTGCATGCCTGATGAGTCCACAGTCTGAGATCCTTGTAAATCTTTTACAGCCCGGAATGAGCAAGAGGAGCAGGAGGAAAAACGAGAGATTAAGAGAAGATTAACACGTAAGGTGAGAAGCAGCTTTGATCCTATTATGACACTACTGTAACTTCCTCCTTATTGCACAGTTGTTTGCCTTTTTCCTTCAGCACCATTTTCAAAAGTAGAGTGTGAAACAAGTCTTACAAAAAAAACTATTTAAAAGAAATCAGCAATGTTGCAGGGTGTAAGTCCACAGAGAACAAAGGAAACCACTTTGCAGGCTACTGCTGGTAACGTTTCAAACAGGAAAAGAGGGGAACTAGTCTTCATAAATGAAAGAGTTTTGAACAATGAAGGATAGAGATCAGCATTTACAAGGACCAATGCTTCTTGTAAATGTAATGGCTTCTATGACCATTACAGAGAGCAAAGTTAAATCTATGCTGATTTGAAAACTCCACCCAAAAAACCCTCATAAAATTGGAAGCTAAACATTTTCTGGAAAGAGAGGCTGTCAGTTGAAGCATTTAAAGTAAATAGAGACAAACATTTGCAGAAAAGCATATAGTGCAGAAAACAATCTTGTATTGGCAGGGAAGAACAAACAAAATAGCATTGCTTGATTCAAAAGTCATTTACTCTTGAAACTGAAGGACAGTCATTTCAGATGTATGCATTCCATTTTGCAGCTGGTGAAAATGTCTACGGATGCCCAAGCATACACAGTGAACAATCCATCCTGCTATTGTGGGTAAACTTTCTTACAGCACTGACATATTTCCTATCTCCAGAAGTAAAGAAAGCCCTCTAAAGACTCACATGCTTGTGAAGTATCACCATTCCCTTTCTGTACAATTTTGAATGGGTTAGTTTTTTTGATCTATGTGATCACAGCTTTCATGGTATAAATAACAAGAAAAGGTCTTTAAGGTCTCTAATAATAACAAGGAAAGATTACGTTCTGAGAACTGAATTGCTTTCTACCATGGTTAAAAATCTCATGCCTTATTCTCAGTTCATGTAAGTAGGTAGAATTCTTGGTCACCAGTTGGGGCATACTGCTGTTGTCTGCAAGAGCTAGAGAGCCATAATATTGTTTGTAAAACACATATTCCTCACCACGATGACAGGGATGATTTTGCATTCCCTCTTAGCACTGCCTGGAAGAAAAGATCCTAACTGCATTGCAGATGTTTCATGGGATTGAGGCTCTGCGCAAAGGCTGGAAATAACATTTTACCAGGCTTTCAATTTCCCTGTACATTGAAGGGTAAACACGTGCAGGAATTCAGGGCAGAGCTTGATGCCATTTGAGGAGCAGCTGTAATAGATACAGAGCAAAGCTCCCCATACCCAGTGTGCCACCTAAGAAGTGAGGGCTTGCTGACAGAGCCGGCTCCATCACCACACGGTTCCCATCCTCCACTATCTTGCAGGAAAGATGCAGAGCACAGGAATCTTATCTCACAGGCAGAGGCCACAGCTCAGATAGAGCACTCAGGTTGCCACTGCTTCACATCAGTGTCTGCTCCCTAAAACCTCAGCAGTTTTCTGGGAGAATTCTTCCTTTGTCTTGTTTCCACTTTTAACTAGGAATAACAGGGAAAGCAGCATCAGTCCGAGGCCCTGGCATTTGGTTCTTTGATGTTCCTGGTCACAAACCTTTTTAGTCTTTTTATTTTGCTTCCTTTCTAGTAAAGATTTTTCTCCCCCACATTTCTGAGGTTGATAGCAACATGATTTAACATTGTTTGATTTGGATCATCTTTTTAAACTGTTGTAAATTGTTCTAGTGACACATGTAATTTTAATGAAAGAACTGCAGGGCTGATCTAACAACAGATTTTTTTCTCACCTACCAAACATACCGTCATAAAAGCTCAGAAATCACTAGAGAAGTTAATAAAGTGTGCAAGTGTTTTAGATAACAACTAGAAATGCCAACCACTGAGTGAAACCTGCAAAAATAGTTGTTATTCCCCAGCTGTGTCTTTCATGAGCCTGTCCCAGATGTGTCGTTGTGTTTACAGCAGAGTGGCAAGCTCCTTCTGTCGGTTTGTACTGAAGTCTTAGTACCAGAGGATTTTAAACCTCAGATCAAGCTGAAGTTTAATTGAGCACAGCAAGTGTGTTGCCCAGCAGCCCTTTCTGTTTGCACTGAGTTTTCAAGCACACACATGACCGCAGGGTAAATTCAACATGAGGAAACTCTGCCATGTTGCCTCTTTTGTAATCGTGTGTAGCTGGGAATAAGGAAACTGGGTTCTGTAGAAGCCACTGATGAGACTTTTGACCTTGCACTAAGAAACTGCTACAGTCCCCAGTTTTTTTGGTGGCAACATTCCAAATCCAAGGGAAGAGCCCACTCCATCCATAAAAAAACTGTTCTTAAAATTCCATCAGCACTGACATTTTGTTACAGTGTTATGATGATAAGTTGTAACATGACATGCTGTAATGAGTAAGATTACCTTGCTAGGTATAGATGCCTTATTAAAGTCAGCAATAAATATCCAGTTGAATTCATCATCTGGACAGGCAATTTCTTAAAAAAAAAAAAAAAAAAAATTAAAGAAATCAGGTGACCTATAGCAAGCTACCCCTTTTAGCACTTTCCATCCTCTCCAACTCATCTAGCTCCACATTAACTGGGGTGAGGAATAGCTACCATTCAAATAACAAAATGAAGGCACATGCTGTTGGCTAAGTTTCTCAGCCTCGTGTCCCTCCTGCCCGAGGAAGCAGAGTGGGAACATGTTTGCCTGTCCCCTGAGATGCCCAGGCACCCCGTCCTCTCTCTCCCTTCCCCTCAAGCCCACCAAGCACCTTTGGGCACATGAACGTCATTTGAGTGGAAGGACGTGTGGATTAGGAAAGTTTTTTCTCTGAGCACTGGTCTCGACCTGCAGCCCATTCAAAGAATTATTAATGTGCAGAAGCCCTCTGGAAGTGTTACAGATGGGTCACGTCCACAGGGAGATCTGGGCCCCCACGAATTACTACCAAGAAGGTGTCTTCTCTGAACCATGGCGAACTTGGCCGAGGACCAAGGCTATGAACACAAGCCTGAATGTCCCCTGAGGGCTTCCATTACAGAGAGAGAATCGTAGCCTGGATTAACAGAGCACTTTACAAATCACTTGCAAAGTGGAATAGAACTCTCCTTTTCCTACCTTCTCTTCTCTTAAATGGCACCATGCTTCCCAGCCCCCAGAGCTGTTTACTGCTTCCTATCCCCCCACTGCCAATAGCTCATTTTTCTCAGAGGTCTAGCTCCAAAAGGAAATCTCGCAGAGCTGTAGTACTGACTACCAAATTGAAGAGGTGTGGCTGTTTCTTAAAATCTGTACAATAATTTGAAATCTTCACTCCTGTTAACTTATTGCCCCAGTCCAATTTAAATGCTCCGTTCACTGGTGCCTCTCTGGGAATTATTTTCCCTGCTTGAAGATGTTCAAGCTTTTCTTTAAATGACCTCCGCTGGCTTGCATCAGCAAAGGCTGTTGAAAATAATGAACTCTTGAGAGAGGTGGGACTCATCAGAGAGAGGTGAGAGAGAGGCAGCAGGGAGGAGAAAGGTCAGAGAAGAAAAAAAAGTTAGTGGCTAATTTGGATAAGCTGCATTTATAGTCAGAGGGAAAGGTCTTCAGGGCATTTTCCTCACATCTTGCTCCTGTCTTTAATGCAGAAGGTGGGAAGCAAAGGAAGATGCTGTAATTTTTCAGCTTGTTTTCTTCTTTAAATAACAACTATAACATTTTAATGAGGTAACAGAGCAGGCAATGATGACGTGCTAACATAAGCTTCCTTGTGACTGAAGTAAGGCAAACTCAGCATTTTGCATTTGACTAAATCCAAGACCAGACTGGCAAGAGTAAGTCCCTCTCCCCTTTGAGGGTGAGGGTGCTTGGGTTTGCCTCATTTCCCATGCCATGGACAAAGGCGGGTGTGCTAGACCTTCGCTTTCAAACTGCCTTAGTATCAAAGCCTGGAAAATGTCCATTTGTATCTACAGCACTCCAGAATATACAGAAGAAAATTTGACCTCCTGTGACAAGGCGTGAGAGGTCCTGTCCTCATTTACTGCTCTTGCATTAATACAATTCCATTTATTTGAAAAGGGAATTTTACCCTGGTGCAGACTCAAATAATGAGTCACTCACCATAGAATTACCCTGCTCCCTCAGCTCCCAAATCTTCACAGATAGGTAAATAGAAATGTAAATGCCCAGGTAGTGCACACACAAAGAGTCCAGACACACTCATGTACATACGTCCCTTTTACATGAACAGAAGTAAACTTAAAAGGGTCCAGCTCAGTAAGAACTCCTTCTCCCTGCCTGGAGCACCACACCTTGTGCAGACAATTGCATTGTGCCCTTGGCCATGTCCTTGTCCTGTAATTTTTGAATGTTCCCTATTCTTTCTGCCTGTTAGGAGAACTCATTCTCAGGTGTTGCTTGATAAGGACTCTGTAGCATTAAGCAATTTAGACCCAAGAGACCACAGCTCACAGGTCATAAAAATAAACTGCAAGGTGAGATTTCAGATGAGCTGTGCCCTTAGTGTGGACACATTGAACTGACACCTGCAGTGGGGCTGCTTACAGTCTGTCCTGCAAAGCAACTTCCCCAGCTAGTCAAGAGTTAAGGGAACTCTGAGCAGCCCAAACATGCTGCAAGACTCTCACACCTAGAAGGTCACAAGACATCTCTGCAATGGTATGAGAAGAAGGCAGGGAAATTTGTTAACCATTCAAATAATGTAGCTTAAATTAATGGCTTTTAGAAAATGACTTAGCGTGGTTGTCTCTCTCATTACACTTAGCATGATCAGATTGGCACTTTGGTTTAATGTACTGAATATATTTTGTGTGCATATAGTTATATATGGAAATATATGTAGATTTATGGCTACACATGAACTATGTGATACCAGCCATGGATTTCAGGACTCTCTTGCAGCCAGAGCACTGGCACAAGAGTCAGTGCATCTTTTTTCCATCCTCATTCCCGTTCTCCTGAGCATCTCATAGGCAGGACATTAGTGCAGCTCTGCAGACTCTCAGCATGAGGTATTTGAACCCAGTTTGTGTGTGCATGCTCAGGGATGCTGGTATAAGGAGAGCAGCCACTGCTGCCTCCCATCACAATCATCTTTTCTAAATAGAGAAGAGAAAGACAACCAGCCCTGCCGAAAACAAGCACGCAGGTTTACACAGCCAGATGCAGGATAGGGCGGTGGAGCTCCACCCAAGTGCTGAAGAAAGGAGGGATTTTTCACCCTTCACTTCATATCCTGGATGTTTTAACTCATAATTCTCCCTAGAAGATTAAATGCAGGGAACTGAGATACTTAATTTGGAAGAAAGGTGGATTCAGGGGCGTAAATAATGCTGTGGAATAGAATCTCAAGCATTTTATTAAATATTTACACCTTTCACCCTTCACAAGGGTAAAGTATTTCAAACACATCTATTTCTAGTGAGTAGGAGGAGCATGATACACTGTGTAGGATATTATTATCAGGATATTTTTTTTCCTGGTGTATCCTGGTTACAAATGTTCTACTCTAACACTGAAACTTTTCAGCTAATCTACAACCACATGCACACATTTATGTAGCACCTTCAGAAACGATTGTGTAATTGCTTTTGACATTCACCAGCATGTTGTGCATCCAAGGAGAATTGATCCCTGAAAGCCAGCTCCTGTCCCTGTCCATGTAACTGGCTGTGTGACACGTGGGCTATCAGCACACTAATTTAAGAGGAGTTTTTCACTGTAGCTGCTGTGGAATTTAAAATAAGTGCTTGAAACAATGAAGATGCTTTCCTGACATGATACAATCCACCATTGCTTTTGGCTTGTAGCATGCAGAATAAACTTTTAAAAGTCAAACATGCTGTGATACAAACCACAGCTGTCAATAGATGCAGTTAAAAGTTCAATAAGCACTAATCATCCTGCCTGCCTTTTCTGAAGGTAAGGACTGGTCTGCAGAATATCGGAATGGTAAACAAAGTTGTTTTTCACCTTTTGCATGTAATTCAGGGCAGGAGCCACTCCATGCCTTGGCCTGACTCCTCTCAGGCAGTGCAAAAGTACAGGCAACAGCAGCAAAAGGCTGGAAAGTGCACGTTATTTAAGAGTTGTGTTGTGGTCTTTGTCTCTTCCTGGGACACCAGTGCACTAGGAGATTTTCTTGCCTTACATCTCATTTTCTGCCAAGGGTGATCAACCTCAGCTGGGAATCAGCAGCCACAGCAGCTTCCCGAACAACAGTGGGCTGCTCTGGCAGCAAGGTGAGACAATATTTAAGGTGTCATAACAAGAGGGTATTTCCCAGGTAGCAATTTTATGAAAGGCAAATAAAAACAAAGAACTGGGAATGTCTGAACACTCTTATTACCATAATGGTGGTTGCAGTAAAATAAATCCCCAGGCAGCACTCTGTAGGGAAATAGCAAAGTCCTGATGTCTTTTTCTACACCTTCCTCAAACCTGCAGCTGAGTCAAAGGCCCACAGTAGAAGAGCTACGTGAGAGGAAGATCCTCATCCGCTTCAGTGACTACGTGGAAGTGGCAGATGCGCAGGACTACGACAGGAGGGCGGACAAACCCTGGACACGACTCACAGCCGCCGACAAAGTAAGTGGAGCAACTCTGGGAGAGCCATGGCCTAAACACCCACAGTATGTCATGGCAAACAGCATCCCCTGGGTCCCACAGATCCCACGGCTGTCAAGGAATAAACATCCACCTGACATCCCTTCCCAACACACCTGTGGTTTTTTCCCATTCACGATGTTTGTTTATTTTGTTTGAAGCATAAATCTTTGGCAAGAAGGTTCCTATACACATGGAAACCAGGAGAGGGAAGGAATCCCAAGCCCCTTGAGAAAAGGTCTTGATGGCAGCCCTGTTATTTGTTAGTTGGTTTTGGTCTTACCACATTATGCTGCCAGGGGAGAGCTCTGGCAAGACTTAGCAGAGCAGTGAGACAGAAGCGTGTACCAGAATAGCTGTGGCAGGACACGACAGGCTTGGGTATGAAAATGCCAGCAGGTCAATTTGGCAAAAACCCCCATCCCTCCAAAGCCAGATCACTTCTCTCTTGTGGGTTACAACAGGGGTCTTTGCTCAGGATTTCTGCCACAGGGTACTTTAAGCGCTGAACTGAAATCACACAAAACCTGCAGATGAAGAAAAAGACACACGTTTGATATTGATGGCACTGCCCTCTGAGCACTGGTGGAACTTCCAATAAATAGTGTCTCTTGTGTTGGCATTGATGGCAGAGGGATTAAATTGCTGGCAAATTATATCAGTCACATGCTGAGGGTCTTAAGAGGCCCTCAGGAAAAGTATTTAAAAGATTTTATGATCATTGTAAGAAGCAAGGACTATGAGGCTCAGTGATTCAGTCATGAATCTTGTAGTCACTCTATGATGCCCTTTTAATTTTAAAGACTTTCAGATACTTGAATTCAAGTCTTGACTATTTCTTTGCCATGGAACTCATTCATTCAGCAATGGAGAGCATGATATCCAATGTTTAGAGCATTAGCAGAATTTCTAGCCACACCACTTATCTATGGTGCTCTTGGTTTTATTCACAAAGGACAGCCTGTTATACTTGTATAATTCAGCTAAAGGACTTGTATAGGTCTGTGACGTTCTCCTCCTTGATAGAGGGATTTTTTCAGTTCAGCTTTGGCTAAGTTAATGTAGCATAAACTGATCTGAAAAAAAAAAGAAAAACTTCCTCAGGACTGTCCACAGACCATAATATACTGGGTTAAATTAACTTTTCTCTTTTTACCTCACCATGTTTGACAAGATATTAGTCAACTGACTTAGCTTTATTCTCTTAGTTGTTTGATGAGGGAGAGAATAAATCTCCCAACTAGTTCTACAGCCTTTGAGAGATCTCTGGGATGCAAGGCATGGAGAAGCTTCAGCTGGGCATGGAGATTTGATCTTTCATCCTATGCCTCTGAAAAGAACAAGCATTAAATACCACTATAAAATGTAACCTAGTAAAGAGTTTAGTATTAAGGAAGAGTACTTTGGTGTCACTTTTTCTTTTTTTATAGTGCATGTACAAGTTCAGTAGTCAGAGAAAAGGGTTAAGTCCTTCAAATTAACCTTTTCTCAGCAAAGCACCATCAGAAGAAGAGATGTTTGTCATTCTAATATTAATGCCCTTTATGGCATAATTAAGCAGATAGATTGGTTTTTGTTTGGGTCCTGTGGGCAGTATTCTGATTTCTACCATCCAGAAATGATGACTGGTGACCTGCTTTTCCTCAACACTATGTCCACTGTTGGAAAAAACAGCCAGACAAATTGAAACAAAGCTACATCATCCTAGATAGGATTATTTTCTTCCAGAGCTGTGATTCAAGAGCTGTCTGCACTGGTCAGCACAGACTAGATTTATTGCAAAAACCGATTTTAGCAATGGGCTTTTCTGTTTGCCAGTAAATCTTGCTCTCTGTGCTGGGTGGAGGGAACTGCCTTCAGTCAGAGTTTGTTTTTAGCAGGTCTGACTCTTAGGGGAAGGAAAAGGGAATTTTTGCATCTCTGCAACAGATGAGGGGTGGAGAGGGGAATAGCTCTCAGTCCCTATGGGAGTCAGCTGCCCCTGTGGCCTCCATCACAGTCACTTCAGTAGCAGATTGGTCTGCTGGAGCTGCTGCATAGCCATCACTCTGTCGTGATGGATGAGGCAGTGCCTGGCAGGCACTTCTAAGGGAAATAAGAAACCAAAGCTGTGGAGAAGGCACAGAAAGAGCCTTTTCTGTACAAAAACACTTGCAAAATCCATCACTTAGGGTTTGTCAAAGCAAAGGCAGTTCCTGACTGGAGCAGTGGCTGTTGAAAAAGTCCTGGTTTGGGCTAGTTCTACTCATACTGGTTTAGATTTCCTCCACTGAGAAAAATTCCTGACAGACACGAGTACTACTTACTGGAGCACCCCGTTTCCACTTCTGATGCTGATGTTTTCAGCATCACACAGAAAGGCAGTGCACACACCTCAGACCCCAGGGAGCATTTGGCCACAGCAGACACCTTGCACGTCCCCTCCAAATGCTCACAGTGAAACCACTCATGAGCAACAAATACCACAGAGCTGTCACAGGTCCTGACTCTTGGGACTTGAGCCATTTCTGCTCAGTACCATCTCTACCATGCAGCTGAGTTCCTCCAAGTCACCCCCTCTGGTTTTTTTATTCTTCAATAGTTCTCCTCCTGCCAGTGCCCTCTGGTTGTTTTTTCCTTCACAGACAAGCCACAGAAGCTGAATACCACCACACCATGGCAGGTTTTCTGCTGGGTTAAGCTGTCCAGTCATCTCAAGATGGAGGAGGGAGGAGCAAGGCAGAGAGGCACAGCCCAAGGCAGAGTAGAGGGCAGGGAGCCAGGTATCCCTCTTTCCTTCCCAAGTTCAGTCACTTTAGGTAATTTCACCTAAATTCAGGCAATTCAGGACCAATAAAGGCAGACTTGTCTCAAACACAAGTCTGTCAGGATCTGGGCCCAGTCTAGTCACAGTCCAGCTCTGGAACAGATCAGTGTTTCACAAACTGTGATGCACCTTTTTTTTTCATGCTTTCGCTACTTTGGATTTTGTACATGTAAATGTTTACATAATAAGCCAGAATTGGGTTCTGTACCTGCATTGTCTGTGTTATGTTTTCAAATTGAGCCATTCCACCAAAGCATTTCTCTGTTCCCTTTATGTGATTTAGAACATGCTTATCTCTGTTCCTTTTCACATTTTGAAGTCTTTATGTTTGTCTCTCTGATAATGTTACCTTTCTGCTTTACTTTTAATGTACGGTTTGGAGAACAAAGTGAATTTATTTTGATCTCTCTCATTTAAACATTTATGAGTTTCTTTGTCCTTTGCAGGCAGCCATTCGAAAAGAGCTTAATGAATTTAAAAGCTCTGAAATGGAAGTTCATGAATTAAGTAGGCATCTAACAAGGTAAGATGAGAGATTAATTTTTTAAGACTATAAATGAATACTGTTGTTTTCAAAAAAAAGAAACAAAACCAGCAGCTGTTTCTCCAACATGCACTGAACACACCATGAGGTCTAGACAACATTTAGAATTACAGGCTGTAAAAGCAACTGACACAGACGAACACATGCTGCCCCATTATGTGGTGTTATGCAGGCATGTGCTGTTTAATGAAGTATAACCTCTTTTTTTTTTTTTTAAATCATCATGCTGCATATCTGTTCTTCTGAGATCAAAAGTTAAAAGAAGAGTTTAGAAGGAGGACATCTTCAGAAGGAGACAGGGAGCCCTTGTAGAGCACGTAGCAAAGTCTGAATGAGCACACACTAAGCCCTGCTGTGTGTAGAGCTGTTCCACACCAGGCAGATCCCACCCACAGATCTCTCAGTCTTGTCCTCCACATCCAGCCATGCGTGATGCAGTGGGCATGGCAAGATCCACACTGTAAGAGAGGCACTATTATTTACACCTTGGGCTTCTTTTTAGTTTTAAAGGTAGACACTGAATGAATTATCCATGAGCCCAAACCAATGCCTTCCTATCTGACAGGCTAGGGCTGAAGTCAGGCCTTTGCAAATCAACACTTTAGACTTCAAAGATAAGTGTTGGGTACTGAAGACAAGTGACAGTGAGATCTGATGCAGAACTGGAGCTGCCCTTGTATTAATGCGTTCATCAGTTCAGAGCTCATGAAAAATGCAGGCGGTACTTTTAGGAAAAATACAGAAAAGCTTAAGGCAAAATTAATTTTGTATTAGGGGATTTTGATGTGTATAAATTAATAATTATATTAAAATTCACCACATGTATTATGCATTTGTTACCTTGCAGAAACGATCTCCCTTCTCCACCCTAGCATGTGCTAGGCTGGTTGCACTGGGGTTTGTAGTGATGGAGTGCTGCTAGAGACAAGCCAGCTGCTCCTGAGCCACAAGGTCTGGGAGAAGCCTTAGGATGTACAACTGGCCTAAATCTGTTGACCACAGTGACTGAGCCTTTGAGGGACATTTGGCTCCTCCACGGCAAGATGACAAATGTAGAAAGGACAAGGCTGTTTTAAAGGGGGTGTTGCTATAAGTAGTCAAGCTCCGTTGAGAGCTCCACTTAATTCCATGAAGCCTTTAGCATCCCACAACATACACACTGGTTTAGTTTTCCAGAAGTCTCTCTGACTGCTTGGCTTCCACAGGTTTCTGCCCAGTATTTTCCTTCTCTTCCAGTGTTGGAGTGAGCAGTGACCCTTTAAAGTTTGCATCTGAAAGCCACTGAGCAGCTTGGACTCAGTAAGTCTGGGCCAGGCATACAGAGAGCCACAGCTCACATAACAGACACTGGAATAAGGGTTTGCCTGAAGAACAGCAGGGCTTACTGGTTCAACAAGTGGCTTTGGGAAATATGCACTTGAAGGAAGCATGCTTAAACAAAAGAGAGTAATTCCTTTAAATAAACTTAGATAAATCACCATTATAAAGTCATTAGCAAGGTGATGAGCTCTTCATGTCATTAAGCAGTGGCAAGAGCAAAGAATGTGAGTGTCACTTTACTAGTGGGACACATTAATTAATTCATAATGGAGTGAAAAATCAAATCTTAAAAAACGTGCGTTTGCAGATCTGAGAAACCCAGGCCTTCTGACACAGGGTGCCTTGCAGGAAGGGTGGCCACTTTAGCTCCATTTGTCTCTTTAGCCTCCAACATTAAAGAATAATCATGGTTAAACTGTATGTAAATCTTTCTGGCAGAATAGCATAAGGTTTTTCTTACCAGACAACTATTGTGGAGTCAGGCCTTGTATGGCCTGGAAGAAGGTGAGCAGGTCTGCTGTCACCCACTCAGGGATCCCATAGGATGGACCCGAAGTGTATGAATGTGTCTGGTAGATTTTGGTGCAAAGAGCTTTTGCCTATGAACTGTGAGTCTGGCAAGAGCCAAGGAAGTGTGAGTGTCTGTCTGTTTTGGGTCTTCTTTCTAGCATGGCTGATATCAATGCTGCAGGAATTGAACTGCCTAATGGTGTCACTGTAGCAATTAGTTCTCCTAATTCTTTTTATGTGCAATGTACATGTGAGGATATGATCTTACTGTTTCTCTTTTTTTTTTATTCCCTTGGGTTTTAGGTTTCATAGACCGTAGCAGATCAATCCTACCTGACTACTATGCCATCTTCAAAACATAACTAAAAGGAACCATAAGTGCTGGTATTATTCACTTCCCTGTTACGTACAATGTAAATCTTCCGGACTGCCTTTTTAAAAAAAAAAAAAAAAGTAGAAAAATAAATATTAAAAAAAGGAGAATTGTATTTACATGTGCAGCATCATCAGACCTGCTGGTTCAAGCTTCAGTAAGAGAAAATACCCCTGGTGGGAAATCGTGCCAAGACTTGGCAACTATGTATAGGACTTTCCCGGCATGTGGATTTGCCATACATGTTCAAGCCCAGCTGGTGGTGTAACCATTGTTGTCTTCAGGCACCCCTCATCCTGACAAGCCTCTGTCATCAACCCTAGAGAGCCCTGAGATGGTGTTCAGGGAATCACTTGGCATGGGTGAAGTCTCCAAAAGAAGAGCCCCTATGGCACTAAAGCACTTACACCAAACACTCCTTTCAAGCTGCGAGCACCTTATGAGGACGATGAAGGAGCAAAACTCTTCATGAGCCAGCCCATCTGTGAATATCATCTCACTAGAGAGGCATTTCTTTCCCTGGAGAAGTTTACAGCCAGTCAGTAGACATTGTTCAGCTTCCAAGCAGAAAAAGGTATCACCTCTGAAGAACAGGACTCCCTATTGAAGGCTGCTTCAATTCTAGCAACTGTTTGTTTTCCATCTCTTTCAAGTATAATTTTCTAAACCCAGTTGTGAGCCCATTAGCAGTAAGTGACAAGAACACTGAGGACCAGCAAGCAAACACTCATCTCTTCATGGTCACTGCATGGCATCTGCTTCGCTTGTAGTTTGTCTTACACCCAAACCTCATGACTGTGTGAGAGCCAACATGTCCCCAGCAGCAGGAAAGGCTGGGATTGCCCTCTGGCTCTGCAGGGAGGGCTGGAGGTTTCATGAAGGATGTCTATTGCCTCTGTATCAGGTGTCTCAAGAATTGATCCTAAACTCACACTAAGCAAAGCATGACAAAGTGTGTTACCTGGCCTAACAAAAGGAGTCTGGGGCATTCTTATGGATGGTGGGACTTGTCACTGGTACCCACAGCTGAGGCCTAAGGACAGCAATTCAGAGGTGTTCTGAATTTATTGGTTCTAATTTTGGTTTTAATTTATTTTTATTATAGTGGTTTAACACACAGACTGACCAAGCAGAGCTCAGAGAGCTGGTCACTCTGGGCCTGGTTTACTTGCCAACTTAAGTGTGTGCTCTACAGTAAGGAAGCACACACAGCCTCACTGCTTTCAAGAATATGTCTGACAAGCTGATTTGAACCTGAACACAGAATCACAGAATCACTAGGGTGGAAGAGACCTTCAAGATCATCGAGTCCAACCCATGCCCTAACACCTCAACTAAACACAATTAAGTGCTTTTCTGAACTTAGGCAATCACCTTCCAGAATTAAGTCCTTAACTAGTATAATGCAAGCAAGTTGGGGCAGACATTATCAAGATTCCTTTTGAGCTCTTACAAGACACTATTATACCATGTTTTGGGACAGTGGCTGAAAGCACTGTAGTAACATTACTATAAGAAGTTCCAGATTATTATTTCAGGACACCTTTTCTTCCACAATAGCTATTTTCCTCTGACAGTTTGAACAGAGAGGCCAAAGTTTTTTACTACAGAATAGTTATTTCTGTTATTCTTTTACTAATTTTTCCTTTCTCACTGTCTTCCATGTATCTATCCTCTCTTCTGTGCTCCCTGTCCAGCTCCCCCGTTCCATGCTAACATCACCTTTCACTGACTGCAGGCCGAGAAGCCTCTCAAACTTGATCATTTAATGGCCAGTGCTGTGTAGTGCCAACACTCCTGCCTCTTCTCAGGCTTCACCTCACTCCTCTGGGTGCAGGAGCACAGCCAAAGGACCTGCCTGTAGCCCATGGAGTGGCTCTAGCACCCAGCCTGCCCCAATGGCCTGGGCAGCGAGGGTAACGCCCTCCCTCTGCGCTCGGTGGTGGCACTCAGTGCCTCGCAGATTGGCTCCCCATCAGAGAGAAGCAAAAGCTTTTCATTCTCATCCATGGCCATCCTTGCAATGCTGTGGAGTATTAGCTATTTAATTAGGATTGGCTATTGTAGAAGGGAACATCAAAGGAAAGTAAAAACCAGGTGGTTTCTGGTGCTTCCCGGACTGGGTGATGATTTCTGGGAAAACACACCATGATCCCTGCATCACCAGATCACACTTGCTTTAGATAGAAGCTCATCAGTAGTGAAAGCCTTCAATGTGCAATGTTATCAGCTCAGTGCAGCAGAGGCAGAGAACACTTACTGTACCATCCAGGAAGACACTGCTTTGAGGTTATCTTCATGAAAACCTCAATTCGTGTTTATAAATTCACTCACATACATATGCACACAAATTACAAAACTGCATCACAGCTTTAAAACAAGGGAAAAAAAGCCTTTATGCTTTTGCCTGCACAGATGCTGCATTAGCAAAGGGCTCTGCAAGAGAGCTGTTCTGAAGAACAACAAATCCTTGTGTTCCCAGCTTAGATCTCACACCTGCCCTGATATCACTAGCTTAGAGGATCACTGTGAAATGGAAGGGACGCCATTTAAGGAGCAGTGGTGACAGGAATCACAGCACTTGGTAGGCTAGTGGGAGGGAAAGGTGAGGGTTTGTTTCATTTTTATTAATAATATTAGGAGGAGGGAGGTGGAAGTCGCAGGCTGCTGCTGTCTGTCCATTGCAGTGCTGAAGTCTCCAGGCGAATGATCAGTCTGGACACTGCCACTGTCCCTCACGGGCACAGCCCCAGCAGTGCCCACACTGCCAGTCTGGTGCCCAAAATAAACTCTTGAGTGCTGGCTGAGACACATAACAGCCAAGTCCTGGGTGATAGCCCAGCATTCCCCAGCATCTTCATCTGGATGAGCCCATGGCAGGTCCCTGCTGATCCCTCAGTAAGCTGCCACACTCAGCCTTGCTCCATGATTTGTGCTGTCCCCAGGGCAGCTCCATGCCACCTTCCTTTTTTTTTTTTCCTTATTTCTTTGAGGTTTTTACATAACTCCTGGCTGAGCAGATACCAGCACAGAAGTGGAAGAATTGCAATATTTCTCCCCAGTTGGAAACAGAGCTTATTCCTGAAAAGGGGGAAGGGGAGGAGAAAGAAGCCATACAAGGTGTTTGGCACTGCAGTATCACCAAAATGACACTTCATCTGCTTTTAGCTTCAGTGGGTCTGGGTAGTTTGCAAAGTAAACCTTTGTCAAGGTGTTCCACAGCAGCCTTTCAGGGCCTGAACAGGGCACCACATCCTTGGTGTGCACATCCACCTCTGGCATCCCTGGGAAGTTGTACACAGGCTGGGGAACAGCTGGTCCCTTTTTTTATAAATCTGGTTTCTTGAGAATTGTTTTTTCATCTGTGAAAGCCATCTCTACCATGGCAAAGGAGCTGTGATTCTGTTGGCAGTAAAAAAAAAAAAAAACAACAAACAGTCATGACTTCTCTCCTTAGACCTGGATTATGTGTAGGACACAATGAGGGCATTCCTGCTAAGACTCTGTTGGCAGAATCATCCTCATTCTGGTTGAAAGGAGATTAATAGTGGTAATAAAGAAATCACATCAGATTTAGAGAACGGAAAAATCAACACAGAACAAAAAATTACTATTTCAGTCATCCATCTCCAGAGATAATAATATAGAGTCAAAGACTAGAAGCATTTTTGGTGTAATCTACCAAATTCTGCATACTTAAAGTGTGCAAGTATTCTGACATCTGTTCAGCAGCCTGCAGAATAATGAAGTAGAAATGGGGACTGACAGGGGAGGTGGTGGGGATTGAAAAAGCAGTTCCAAAACATCTAGACAAAATAAGTTTTGATTGTTGGGGGAATGGTGTGATGGTGAGGAAGCCCAATAGTGGCATCACCCCTCTACCCACACCTTCACCAGCAGAGGGTTGCAGGGACCTGGTGGCACCATTCTGACTCAGAAGGAATGTGGGCATTGTGGCTTTTGCCCACCCTACACCCCACTGTGTGGGTACTTGCAGGCTGAAGAAGTTTCAGGCTGCAAGTTTGCTGGGAAGGGACTCAGGCCAACTTTTGTGTCTAGGCAATTCCTCATAAACACTCTGGGCATTATCAGAAGAGAAGGAAGAGGCAGAGGAAAGAACATAATAGACTTTTAGCTATTTTATGTTAACTGAAATAATTTAGTGAGCCCTTTACACAAATATATCTCATCCTAATACATGTAAAACCACTGTATCCTGTCAACACTGCAACTACTCACCAAATTCACCCTTCGTTATTTCTACAGCACCACCCGTGCAGTGCAAACACTATAAACCAAGAGAGGGGGAGCACTTCCAACATGCCTAGTGAAGCTTGCACTCATAAAAATAGTTGGGCAAGGTGGAAACCCATAATTATACATAAATGGGGGCTCCCTAACGTGCCTGCAAATAAAATAACTTTGTATAAATAGCCATGAGAGATGACTAGGCTAATAAAAAAATCAGGAAAGAAAAAGGGGACAAATTATTTTTCCCAGGTGTTCAGTCTGCTCGAGATTGGAACAACTTCTGTAAACAAAGAGGAGGTGACGGGCACATTTCCTGCATTCCTGTGTGTCCCAGTTACTCCTGCACCAGTTGCATTTTCCAGTTGATATCCAAGTGTATGTATATAGTTTGTCTTTGTATAGGAGTGAGTGTGGTGGCTGTCAATCGTGATCTTCCAGTATTGTAATTTAACAGATTATGGCTGTATGAAAATGATGTAAATAACTAGAAAAAATTAAACTGGATCTCTATGTCCTAGTTTTTGTACATACTGAAACTGCATGGTATTTAAATTATTGTTTGTCTCTGATGTATGCAGTTTCTTAAAAAAAATTAATTTAAAAAAAAAGCTTTCTGGTGCCTGTGTATTTTATCCCCCTCTGCCCCAGTGACTGACAGTGTAACACACAGAGGCAGTCAAGGATACCAGCCAGGTTCACCCACACCTCCGTGGGAGCAAAGCAGGAAAGGGAGACTTCCGAGAGCAGATGGGTGGGACAGATCAGATGAGCCCCAAGCGCCGTGGCTGGGCTGGTGCAGCTCAGCAAGGAAGGATGAGTGGTA